AGGGACGGACCATTAGAAAAGTGATGGGGGGGTGGGGCAAAACCAAAAAAAAAATTTATTCCCAGAAAAAAATGAAAAAAAAAAAAATCTTTCAAGGCATAGTGCAAAAAAAAAAAATTCCTTGCTTAGAAGATAGGCCAAGTGGTGTACTGGAGGGAGGGCTCAGGGGAGCTGAGCCCCCTTGTTGAAATTTCATGTTGACTTGGGGGGCTGCACGTTGGTCAAATTTAGCAAAATTTCTCCCACTCGTGAGGGTTCGTATTGACAGCGGACATCTTACAGAAAGTGGCCAGTTCCTGCCAGTTCTTTGAAAACAGGCGCTCCTTGCGTTATCAACAATATAGTATTGTAATTGTTAAGCTTAACAACCCAATAAGTATTGGGTTGTTAACCCTAACCCCCACCCTAACCCTAACCTCTAACCCCTAACCCCCTAACCACTAACCCCTAACCCTAACCCAGGAATAAAGCTGCCGGGATCTACCCACCCGCCACCCCTTCACCTCCATCCCAAGACAGTTACACTTATAACTAAAACTTTTGTGCAATGCTTGCGGTTTTCTTTCCAGTAACAACCCAATAACTTATTGTGTTGTTAAGCTTAACAATTACAATACTATATTGTTGATAACGTGCGGAACGGGTGTTGAAAAATGCAAAAGTTTCAATTTTACACCGCAAGTCCACTGACAATATGAACCTGCGATCCTGGGAGAAAATTTGTTGAATGTAACCAGCGTGCTGAGCTCCCCTATATGCCTATATTATGGCACGTTGCATAATTGATAATCTTAACAACGTGCGAAAACACACACAAAAAAATACCAGTAAACGAGAATGTTCTTTAGAATTGCATCTCATTTTCACTCATCATTTAACACAATGATTTTTGTAATCTTTATATCGCCATTTTTGTAATGTTTATATCATTTAGTACCACTAAATTGTAAATTTCGACATACTAAAACGCTGTTTTCTGACCATCAGAATTCTGTCAAATCTTCCCCAAAGTCCAGGAAATGGTATTTCAGAGACTCTAAATTTAAAAATTTCCTCGGACCTTCGGCCCTCGCTACGGCTT